ATTAACATGTTTGATTTGAAATTAATATTTACTGAGCAAGTAGATTTTTTTTTACTTTTTAAACTTTCACATCAATCCTGAACTGCTGAGTAGTATTAGATTACATTTTTAAGGCTGGCCACATACTACAGTTGCTGATTTTAAGTTTGATTTGAACCCCTGAATGGGGTTTGACCTATTATTAACTTCTTCTAATCAAGACGGAAGATCCTTGAACAAAAAAAAAAAAAAAAAAAAAAAAAAAAACACATTTTATTCTAACCTCGCACTTTGTTAAAATTTGGGAGCCACAAACATGCCATAAAAACTGGACAAATTTATTAACCATATTCTTTTTGGACTTAATTTCTAGCTGTAAGACTGTAAGAAACAGTATGTCTGTTTTATTCCATGATTTTAAAATTGGTTAAGATTTGTATAAAGTCTCATCTGTGGCTAGCCTAAGCCTGCTTGCCTTTTTATGTAACTAAATCTGTCTAAATCATAGACAGAGGGGCAAAAAAGTAAAGAAAGTCTTGGACACAAGCTCTGAATGCAGCACCAGTAACACTGATGAGGAGTCCATGACTTCTTCCTCCTCTTCAGAGTCACCTGATGGTGATATTCCTTGGAAGAAGAGAAAGAGTCATAAGAAGACAAAGAGGGCCAGCAGGTCAAAATCTACCAAGCACAGCTCACGTGGTAAGCATATATCCTGTTTTTGAATGCCACTTTTCTGTTGATGTGTACTTGGTCAATAGAACCCCACATGGAAAGAACCTATATAAACATACATGTTTTAGGTTTTGATATAGGTTTTAAATATATATGACAAAAAATTGGCCATTTCCTATATATTGTGTACATACATGTACATATATGCACATACATATATGTACACATATACTGTATGTATGCATATATCTAGACATATACTATATGTACACATATATGTGCTTATATGTATCTTTATATGTACATATATATGTTCACCTTTATGTTTACCTACATATTAGTTAAATTAATAAAATCTATAGCTGCTAGACAACGTAAATAAAATAAATTGTATTTTTTTATTTACTTAAGAACAATCAAATAGTACAATAAAAAATAAGACCAAAAAAAAAAAAAAACTGAACAGAAAAAACATTTTAAAACACAAAAGCTTTTGTTATTTTCTTCTTTTCCACTATCTTAATACAAGAAAGAACTGGCTTTGTAAATGTTTCAGGAAAACATGTAGACATCATAGCTTTTCATCTCCTCTCACTTATTTGCCATAGTTAAATTCCATAACATGCCAATTACATTTGATTAAAATTTCAAGTGTTGGCACATAATTTTTTTTTGCATTTTTTTTTATTAGTATATCTTGTATGTACATATAAGGCTTATATGTGGATATAAAGAAGCATTACAGGATACCTATATGGCATGTATATGCATATATATGCACCTCAGTTTTGCCTATATATGGCATATACACACACATATATATAATCATATATTAGGCATGAGCCTGTATAAGATTCTTACTGTATGTTAACATTGGATAAAATTATCACGGTATCACAGTATTGTAATTACTGCTCAAAAATATTTTCTTTTTAAATGTCTGGGTAAAAAACAACAGAACATTTTTGGTTTGAACACAGTATATTTTATTTTGTGAAACATTTAAAATATTTTGGAGCAGTAAATGTGTCGGGCTAAATGAATTATTGAATTTTGCTTCATTTTGTCTTTATTTGTTTCAAAAACATTTTTTTACAATTTAAAATGGAATATGTTCTGCTAGAGGTACTGTTATTTTACACTTTATATTGAGTGGACAGTTCCTGTGGAGTTACCAAGTACACTGTTAATAAAGTGTTGCACAGAGGATATTTTACAAGTTAAAGAGTAATTTGTGACTATTTTACACATTATATTGAGTGGACAGTTTATGTGGATTTACCCTGTAATTACACTGGTATCACAAGGTGAGGCCTTATAATAAAGCTTTATTTCTGTCATACATTGTTCACAAGTACATGGTATGCAAACAAATGTGGAAGTGAGAAAACACCTGCAAGTACATACTGTTGTTACACAATGCACTTATATAATTTTTGTTACAGATGTGTACGTTCTAAGTGTTGTTGCCAATGTCCTGTTACACATTTGTACTTACACATACTATTCAGTGGGCTGTTACATGTGTGTAGTTACACCAGTGTTACACAAGTAATTACCATGTACTGCACCAGTGTGTACATACACTGTAGTTACATACTACTTACACATCTAGTTATATGTAAGTTCACAGGTATAAGCTACACAATATAAAGTGGGACCAATCCACTTATAGCATTGAAGTTCCCCACCTGAAGGGGAACGCTCTGGTTACTAAAGTAAACCTCGCTCCCCGAGGAGGGGAACGTGAAGTGGATCTTATACTCTTTAAAGTGTGAAGTTAATCTATATATTCAAATTGTATGTGTATAATCTGCTTGTAGACATACCATTAGAATAATTAAAGTACTATGTAAAGTTAGAAAGGGGATATGGCCTAAGTAAACAACTACTGTGTCCCAAGAGATGGATGAGAATAGAGCACACATGTGTAAACAGTTAAGTATTGATGGATAAGATATAAGGTTACCAGGTTTGGGTTGGGGTTGGGGGTTAAAACTAGTTGGGATCTTGTGTTACAAATGTAGAACAATGTGAAAAACAGCTGCAAAAGAGTATATACGCAGGCCAGAACATCAGTGAGACAGAATTTTCAGGCAGAGATGCTACTGGGGGTTTCCTGAAAAGTCTCCTTTGTTGTCAACAATAAAGAACTCTTCTGAAATCAAAACCATCAGACTGTGCTGATTATTGAAGAAAGGAAAAACCACCACATTATTGGTGTCCCTGGGTGGGCAGGAAAAGAGCAGGACAGTGACGACCACGCTTGCGGGGCTGGAAGAGCAACAGAATCGTGGCCACGAAAATCAGGGGAGCGATTTTTGCTTACAAGTTTTGTTGCTCTGCCAGAATCCGCTTGTGATGGCAAAGGCACTTGAACTGTTTCTCCAAATTTAAAGAACTAAAAAGTGTACAGGGAAATAGAGTTTTGAGTTCAGAAGAAAAGTGTTGCATGCAACAATCTGTGTTTAACAATGAGTGGGGCTTGATGGACATTGTTTAAATGTTAACTTGTAATTGTTACTCATATTAGAGATATCTGAACTAGATGAGCGTTTCAGTGTGAATTTCTAATTTGTGGTGATAGTTAGGAAGTTAAAAGCAGATTAAAGTAGAGAGAGATGCACACAAAGTCCTACGATACCGCTCTGTTAAAGGTGAAGCAGAGGGCTAAAATGCTGTGGTTACCGCTCTAAGGTCAGAGGCTGCTCGGACAGGTCACTCAAGAGGAGTGTAGTGTAGATTTGTGTATTTGCTGCTTCGGGTTGAGGCAAAATAGTCCATATTGGTGTGCAGAGAAGGCTCGCATCTTCCTCCTTGACTGGAACGAGGATAGGGGGATGTAGCTCATGTTACACTGAGTGGAGGAGAGGAGTTTATGAAAAAAAGAAAAAGGTTAAAATAATGATAATAGTATATTATACTATAAAAGGAGGGCTGCATATTTGTGGTGTGATAGAAAGAACAATAAGAATACACTCTAAAAAGGAATGTGTTGAAAACAACACAACATGTGTTATTTTCAACACATGTCCTGAGTGTGCTCAGGGACAACACATGTTGAGTTAAGTTTAACACACAAAATGTGTCATAAAATGTAACACATTAATGTGCAGCATAAGTTGACACACAGATGTGTTATTTTTGTATGTGTTTAACACAACTGTGTGTTACTATTCATTTTTTGTAATTTTAAATGTAAAAAATATTATAAATGTAAAATCAATATACAAAATCTCACAGGAAACATTAAACACTGTTCACATACTGTTTAATTTTCCCAAATGCATTCAAATGTTTTACAGCAATTCATTGTAAATAATATAAAAACTCACTTTATAAAAGTATTCATTAAATTGAACTCGTATCTGTTATGCATGCCAATAAAATGTCAAATATGTATGAAACATATCCATTTTCAAAATTATTCTCTAGTGAAAGAAATTAATAACCATAGCACACTGATTATACATTCACCCACATGTAAGGTGCTTGTCTTAACAAAATAAATCATTGTCAAATCTAGTCAAAACACTTCAAACATTTAGGTAACCCTTTATAGTAACGACACAATATAAATTATTTATTAAGCATTAGCAAGTACAGTAGTTGATTCACTATTTGTTAAGCATTAAATCTACATTATAAGACATTAGTAATGGGTTTCTAAATACAGCTACAAAGGCTGTTTTCTTGACTTATAAGCACATTTATAATGTGCCTAACAATTGTACTTTTATAATTTATACTTTCAAATACAAATGGTTTGTAAATAATGCAGTCCTTAATTTAGTAGTGAAAAAATAATCAGAAGCAAAGTGTGAAGGTACAATTATTAAGCACATTAAACATTTACTTATAAGTCAAGAATACAGCATTTGTAAACCGCTAATGTCTTATAATGTAGAGTTAACGCTTTACAAATTAATGAATTCACCATTTGCTAATGCTTAATAAATGATTTATAGTGTGTAGTTATTATAAAGTGTTACCAAAGTTTCAATCACTAACATGTTTAAAACAATATTTTGTATTTAGGAGATACATACTGCTGATCACAAAATGACAAAATGTCTAGAGGTCTGTAATCTATTAAGTCCCCAGGCAGCAAAGCAAAGAGAAAACGATTTGTTATGATGACACTGAAGAAAAAAATATGTTCATCAAAATACTTAACTCTTAAAACTCTCGTTCCCTGTGTGTCCTGACTCTTCAGAAGGGCATGAATTAATTTTAAAATGATCTGTTGAGATGTTTTAAAAAGGAATTTAAATTATGATACGTTCTAGGGCAACGATTTTGACTACAAATTTAAGTTAGGTTGTGACTATCAGAGAGTGCATGCATTTCCCTTAAATGCCAATTTACAAAATCATTTTAAAGACACTTTGGATAGGTGTACATGCTTATTTCAATTAGGTACAAGACTGCACCTTAGCAATTAATTCCATGACCTTTAATCGTGTGCAAGATGACTGGGACAAGGACAGGTCATATATATATATATATATACTCAAAAAAAAAAAAACAGAAGACAGTTGGCATGGATACTGAAGATTGCACAGCCAGAAGAATTTGAAAAGTCTGTCTACAGCACAGGTCAGGCTTTCAGGATCGAGTGGAAGAGCAAAAGAGTCATTCTTTGCCACAGCTACAAGTACACGTACACGTACAAGGATCCATGTCCTAGACAACCAATAGAAACCAACTGCGGCTGAGCTGACTTCAGGGTCCCTTTCATGGATTCAGTGAGCAAAGATGTAACGGTGGTACCAGCCTTCAGGAATGAAACAATAAAAAGCATAAGAAAATGTTGCTGCATTAGAAACATTTTATTTATCATAAGCTAAACCAATCAAAACTATACCGGCACTTGCTCCAACAGGTAGGACACAGCAGAAGTCACACAGCATTTACTCCCAGCAACACTTCTCCCAGAGGCAGTGGGTGGAAGAAGATGAATAAGGATCTTTAACAGTTTAACAGCTCATCTTGAAGTGAAGATACAGGTCACATGCAAAATAAGAATTTAACAAAATATATTAGAAATTAATATCTTTAATAGAATATTAATATTCACATTAAGTTTTATCTTTTAAACTATTTTTAGAAAAGTGTGCACATGCAACAGATATTTTGGCTAATACTCATACCATCATGCTGATTGTCAGCCATCTTCAGTAAGAGTCTGATGTCAATTTTCTTCTCCAAGATGCTATTTCTTTGAGTTCTGGAATTATCGTCCCTTCCCTTTTTGGATAAACAAGTCTTCGTTCCTATCTGTGAGCTTGGAAAATTCAATGTCCATCTTTAAAGAAAGAAAGAAATCAGAAACAAAGAAATATTAATATTACAATTATGAAATAAATGTCTGTGTAAAGTTCTGTCTTAGTTGAGCATGTCTATTACCAAAGCTGGCATGTCAAGAAATCTGGGATAGTCCTTGAAGATTTCAGCAAGAGATTTTGAAGGGATTTTGTTGTTATCCATCTTTTTCTGTAACTGAAGGTTTGATTGATTGCAGTCTTTATTGATGATAAATTGTCTGGTCGCATCTTCTTTATCAGAGACAACAACTCACTTGGTACGGTTTCATCTGGACTTGGTGAAGAAGGTTGCGGTGTACAATGATGATGTTTTAAACTGTACACCCACTGGCTCTGTTGAAGCTTCCGTCCGACTGTGTGATGGCCTAGCAAAAAAAAAAAATCCTCCTGACATTAGTAATGTAAAAACAGAACTAATGAAAGTCAAATAAATGAGCAACTTATATACACATTCCAAATAAATTCAGTTTATAATGTAAAAACATTCTTACATTCTCATGTCCCTCATTTTCACCAAAGGGCACCTGAGGGGAACAATGACAGAATCTCTTTTACTAGTACCAGCTTTTCTATACCAGAAGGATAGCTAAAAAAGTAAAAAACAAATACAGTTGCATAAATTGCTTATACACAAACATTGACAAACAAAAATTGACTAAACAGTTGTACTTCAGAATTGATTGGGATAAATTGTTAAATGTATTTATTTGAAATATTTTTTAAATGTAGAATTTATTTTAATATATAACTGATTTAAATAAATGTATTTTATTTAATTTGCAAATAAATACATCTTACATGAAATAAACAAACCACATACTCACAATCCATGTTTCTCTACAAGGACACTGACAGCAACTTTTTGACAGTCTTCATGTTCTCTCAGGATTGAAGAGGCTTTTCTTCAAGCAGCGTCAGCAAACTAGTTGTGTTGCCAGTCTGAGTTGAATCTGTTAAAGGACACTAAGAAATGCCAAAACATTTTATTTATTTAAATGTTTACGTTTATCTATAGTAATATAAAGGGAGAAATATATTAATGTTTTACCTGTAATGAGTGCACACTTCTTTCTAATGAGTCCGGGGTGTTGCTTGCAATATAATATATTTGAAATTTGCCAAGCTCCTTTACTCCTGCATTTACATCAGTGTCAATGAACTTGAAAATCTGTCAAATTTCAATATTCAATCAAAAGATAGTTGAGACCTGTTTGACTAAGGCTATAAGATCTCCAACATTGCCATCTGTGAATAGTTTTCTCCATATTTCCTTTCTGTCTATGAAGACAGTTGCATGAACGCGGTGTAGAAGTGTTAAGAGTGACTGTAATTTGTTCCTCGACTTCCATCTCCTAAGAGAGAAATTCATACAGCACAATGAGAAAACAAACACCTGTAACTGTGTATGACAATAAAAAGTACACTTTTAAATAGTATGCGACTAGTAGGGTACCACAAAATGGCGCGCAAAATTGAGTACATTAAAGATCTTCATATTTTAGCTATTGTTTATGAATTTGCTCACACCTCGGCGCCATTTGGTGTCTGTACAAAGCACCCAACTAACGTTACGACAAGGGATTTATGTATAAATTCCTGCCGCAGAGCTTCATATAAGGTTATATATTAAATAACCTTATGATAATAACGTAACGTTAAATGCATAAATTATATCTGGTAGCGTTACCTCGAGTGTCAGAGACGCAGAGGCTTTTTAAAGTGACGGCAACTCTTACACCAAAATGCAGTACATATTTAGGGTAAGTCTTTCGCCTTATATGTAACTTATTATTAACAATTCTGCCAAGTGCCAACGCAGCTTTACAAAAGACGCGCCAGATGCGTTAGCTTGCGCGGCTAAAGTTAATGTTACATGACAGAGTTGCCAAGTCCCGTGTATCAGGAGTACGAAACATGAAAACATAATAAAAGTAACAAAAATAACTTCTTGGACAACTAACACAAAACATTCTCACGCAGAGTGGAAGAAATATTTACTATCGTAAACGAATTTTAATGAATTTCACTCACCTGAGGCAGAGAGGTGCGTTATCCGATAGAGCTCTGGGAGAGCGTCAGTTGAAAAAGAACGTCACTGCGCATGCGCGTGCAGAAATTCACAGTATAAACCCCGAAATATAGAATTTTTAGCCACATACTCACAAATGCTTATTTTATATTACCATCATGATAAATAAACTACATAAACTCATAACACAGTGCCATTTGACTACAGGCAAAAATGCATTGTATTCCAACATACTGTTTAAATGTGTTTAACACAGTCATTGTGTAAACAGTTAAGCACAATATTAACACACAATGTGTCCGTAGTAACACAAAATGTGTTACGACCTGTTTAACACATATTTTGTGTAAATTTTTAACACATCACTTTTAAGAGTGTAGTGATTGATGCAGTTTAGGGAAGAGATTGTGATATAAAGGAGGAGTCTCCTAAATTAAAACTAATGGAGCATATTGCATTTGAAAAGGCAGAAGAATATACTACCCAAACATTTTTCTGAAATAATCCTTGTGTTATAAGTTATATGTTAAAAAAAGAGCAATAGGCAGAATGGACTTAAATTCTTGACATAGCAATAGGTGAAAGATGAATCTGCCCCAGGATGGGGGTAAGAGAGAGATTTATGGTGTCTATGTGTGAACAACAAATAGATTATGTCTATTTACAGTACAAGGCAAAAAGAGAAAAGGAGAATAAAAGAGAGGAGATACAACTATTAGATAAAATAATGAGATAGACTTTAACATAATAATTATGGGTAGAATATAAGTTATTAATGAAAAGATATATTATAAAGTAGTGTAGTAAGATAAATTAAATGAGGAAATACTAATGGCGTTATAAAATAAAGAAAGGAATTTGAAGCTATACTAATGAATAAGAATGAATGAAGCCATAGGAATAACAACATATGAAATAAATTGTTATATTATTAAGTAAATAAATTTTGCTAAAGCAGTATGAATAAAAATATGCAAGTTAATTATTTGATTGAGAATAACATAGAAAAAGAAAACTTGAAAATTAATATTGATTAATTGAAGGTTTAATGATAAAACGTGTAACAAAATCTTTTAAAAAGCTTTAAAATGTATAAGAAAACCTAAGAGCTAAAAACTCAAATTAAGGAAAGGAAAAATAGAATAGAAAAAAAAAATAATAAGTCCACTGATTCATAGATAAAATAGACATTTAAAATATACTTAAAATATAGGCACATAGAACAGATAAGATAAAAAGTCAAAAAAGCAGTAACATTTTGAAGAAAGAATTGACTTTAGAAAATTTGATTGGATTTAAGGGCAAAAAATGTTTTGTCTTCTTTCTTAAAGTGTGCTGTCATTTATTTGTAGTAAAGTACAGTGATTCAGATGAAAATCATAGAAGCTAGGTAAATGTTAAAGAATGCGTTAGAGTGAGTCAAAAAATACATTTAAAAGTTTATACAGTAAGAAGCTAAATTGATAATTATGCATTGCATTTTCGAAAATGAAAAGGGTTCTAGTAAAAAAAAAAAAAAAAAAATATATATATATATATATATATATATATATATATATATATATATATATATATATATATATATATATATATATATATGTGTGTGTGTGTGTGTGTGTGTGTGTGTGTGTGTGGGTCAAATTATTAATATGAACCCTGAGCTATAGCAGTAATGATTTTGAATAGTTATATCAGATATCTGGCCACCATGTAGTACTATTGAATTAAAGAGCCCATATTATACATGAAATAGGGTCATATCTTGGTTGTAAGGGTCTCCAACAACAGTCTAATATGCATGCAAGGTCAAAAACACTTTCATGGTCTTATACTCTGCATTTATTATTTATTACGATGAAACTTTAAATGTGTAAGGTTAAAATTATAAATTATAATGAATGTTAAATAATTTGGTTCATTTTCATAGGTTTACTTATAGAGATTCTTGAACAGAAGGATAAAGTACAATGCATGGTGGTGACTAGAAAAAGAGACAGCTTTTATAACACAAGAAATAATTAGGATTAGACATTTTGATGGAGCTAAATATTTAAGAAAAAATTAAGGGAATATCGTAGCATAATTGAGTAATGTAAATCAAGCATAATTGAGTAATGTATTGAGTAATGTAAATCGTAGCATATACTCAATTATATCGTAGCATAATTGAGTAATGTATTGAGTAATGTAAATCAAGATTTGAGAGAACAAATATTACAGATTAAAACCCAAACAAGTGATTAATACTTAAAGAAGAGAATGAAACAAAAAAAATTGAAATGAACTCACGGTACAGAACAGGTCAAAAAGTAACATTTCTAAATATACTAAAAGAGTATTTAAAAGAGAAAAGTGATTAAAAAATAAAAACAGAAAACAGCTTGTTTTACATATGAGAAGTAATAATTAAAAGCAAAAAGGATTAAGGATTAAAAATAAAAAATCAGATCAGCTAGAGAGAAACTGATAAAGAAATAAGCGATTTTAACTTGTTAAAAATTGCAACAAAAATTTATATACAAGCAGTTTGATGTGAGAGCAGGAAGAAATTAGAAGCTGAAAATGCTGAAAAGTGAAAAATAATATAAAATGCAAATTAAGAAATAGCTCAGAAATAAGGAATGATTAAGTTAAGTGTCAAGTTTTAATAATGATTATCAGTTTAGGACATAGCGGTAGACAAAATTAGCCAGCATAGGGAGGATTAATTAAAATTAAACCATATAAGGGTCAGCTATGCTAGAATATTCATTGTTGAAACTTTTGAGAACATAGCAATAATAGAAACACTTAGATATGTTGTGGCATTTCTAATTAAAGTCAATTTCAATTCAGTTGCAATTGTGTAGGTGACTATTAAAATGGATTCTATTTGAATTTGATTTGAATTACATTTTTGATTATGGCATTAGTCAAAACAGATAAAATTAGATGTTGTAAAGTGTATGATTTAAGAACAATCAGTGATAGAGAATTTCTCAGCAGAGGTTCCTAACACAAACTGTACTTAAATGTGTTCTTTCAGATGCCAAATATGTGAAAGTAATTGATTTCTGTTCAGGTAATTATCAGAGGAGGATAGACACTTGGTTACAATAACAGTACATAGGCTGATAAGCAGTATACATACATTAGAATGCTTAAAAGGATTTAGAAGATTTTGTGATGCATATTATAACATGTAGGATTTAGTTTTGTGCAGGTACATCTAGCTTAAGCTAAGTAAAAGACTTAAATAAAAAACACTATTGATACAAAAAATTAAACATATGATGACTTTTTAAGGATGACGGGTTCAGTGCTAATAAGATTCTGTTAGGTATTCTGTTAACATGAAATCCAGATGCAATAATGTCAGTTAAGATGATGAATAAGAAATGGATTTTTCATTAAAAAAATAAGGTAGCAGGACTAACACTAGTATAGAGTCACAACCTCAATTGCATGATACTGCAAATTAAACAACAAAATAGTCTCCATGAGCAATATATGTAGCCTTAGAGGTGAACGAAAAAGACAAATAAGATTTATGTA